TAACCGTCATAGTAACATGGGGTCTCACAATTACTGCTGGGCCGGTGGCATGCCCACAAGATCGTGGGCACCCCCAAAGGTCAAAAAAGTGAACTAAAAAAATTGGCTTGGATATGGTTTTGTAGCCCTGAACTTGCTCTATCTATAGCAAAAAACCGCGCCTCTGCATCATGTACTAATCGAAAGTTATTAAAAAAATGGCCACCCGCCTTTTAATTTGAATTGGATATTAGTATAAAGACATAATAATACTGGCGTTATCTCTTATCTAATAAGAGTTACTGAGTTCGCCAGGTATAGAAGATCTCATGTAAAAGAAGTTGGGCACAAGTATACGTTATGAACGCTAAATATAGCTTCCTCAAAATAAAACTGTAGTAAGTTATCTATGGTTAAAGGTCTCGGTTCCGAAAAAAAGGAACCGTCTACAAAACCGCGGTTCCGGTTCTTAACGAGAACCAAGGACCAAACATCCCTAGTGTCTTGTACCATGTCCGTGCGCGTCACGGGTGTTTTTTTTGCGAATCTGTCCTCCAGTTAGTGAATCTTAGGTATGATCAATTGTAGTCATGCAGATAGTAGAGTAGGCTACTGGAGCAGCTTCGCTGGTCTGTGAACAAAGGGAAATGCTGGTACAAATTAAGATAAGACAGATGGAATCAATAATTTTTTTATTACAGTGCATTAATAGCGGTGCTGTCAATCGAAATTCGCATGTGTACCGTTAGAAGAGCGTGCATCACATTAGTAAATCTATCATTTCACGCAGTTTTGTATAGACAAAGATATTTTTTCTTTTTTTTGATCCGTCACTTAAGTTCGTAGCATAGCCCATTTGTGAGAGCCAAAATGTGAAAGTCTTTTCTTATAATTAAAATGCAGATCACAAATGTTGGCTGGAGAATTATGCCTCTATTAGACTACACATAGAATTATTTTAACAGCAGTTTTAAAAGTTAAACGATTATTCATTTTACTTTATAAGTCGACGTTTCCACAGCTCAGCTGCCATTATCAAGACAGAAAAAGTGTTTGATTAAAATTACAATTTTTTGACAAACTAAATAGTAAAGAGAGTGAGGAAATAAACATTTGTTCGTTCTTTTAACCAGTCGGTAGAATCTCAAATATCTTTAACATATACATTGCAGTCATTCAGAATTGGATCTTGGGTGCTAAAAAGAGTTGATGTTGCTGGTGGTGGACGTGAGATTCGCTGTACGTGTTTTTGTGGTCTGATACATTTTGCGAAATTTATTATCGTTTTTCCTAATATTTCAGCTGGTTTTCCAACGTATGGAATGTCTAAAAATGTCTGTTCTTTTTTACTCCAATCATTTGTATTGCTACGAAGTCTGATAGTAGATACAGCATTCCCACTTTTCTTCTCTATATATCTAGTCCGAGCTTTACGAATTTTTCAGGATTGTTTTTGTTAGAGGCATTGTAGTTCTACCGACTAAAATGGATAATCGTTTAACATTTAAAGCTGCTATTAAAATAATTTTGTGCATTTCAAAATTGTTACTCGTATCAAAATCTAATTATCTATTAGATTATCTTTGCGCACTAAAAGCCTCCGCCGAGAGGATCCTCTTAACGAGGGGGGGGGGGGGGGTATGGGGTGTGGGGCCAAAAACAGGAGGGGGGGGCGCATTTTAAACCAAAACGAAAATGGTGGTTTTTTGCAGCAAAGAAAAGC